GTCTGCCTATGTCTTTGAATGTTGATGGTGGTGATGATGATGATGATGATGATGGGTCAGGGAAGGGGTGGGTCTCAGGGGTGGCTGGCTATGTCTTTGAACGATGGTGGTGGTGGTCAGGTAGGCAGGGCAGGTGTGGTGTGTGTGTGTGGATGGTGGTGGTGGTGTCTCCGGGGGCGTTGGTGTCGGAGCCTTCCTTCCTTCCCTCCTTCCTTCCTTCCTTCCCTCCTTCCTTCCTTCCTTCCTTCCTTCCTACCTCCAGGCCGAGCTTCTGCTTGAGGAGGAGGGCGGCGCAGAGGTAGCCTGCCCTGCCGACGAAGAGCTCGTCGGAGCCGCACTCGAGGAAGGAGATGGGGGCGCAGAGGCGGCAGAGCCGGCGGAGCTTGCCCAGGGCCCGCTCCCACTCGGGGAGCCCCAGGGCGTGGTAGACCAGCGCGGCGGCCGCGTAGACGCCGGCGCCGCCCAGGAGGAAGGCCGCCCGGGTGTCCCCGGCCTCCGCGCGCCGCTCCTCCAGCGCCTCCCGCCGCTGCTGTTGCTCCTCTTCGTGCCGGACCGAGGCGTCCACCAGCCGCTTGGCCGCCCGCAGGTAGCCCTCCCTGGCGGCGGCGAAGAGCGGGCACTGGGCGACGTGGTAGAGCATGTAGGCCACCCCGGCCGGACCCCCGTAGAGGCCCCCGGAGGCCTTCTGGGCGGACGCCGACGCCCCCGGTGCCGCCTCCTCCTCCGGCTCCGGCTCCGGCTCCGGCTCCCGCAGCTCAGGCACCGCTTGGAGGATGCGGTCGACGGTGGCGGTCACCAAGGGCGCCACCGCCTCCTGGCACTGTCCGGCCAGAAGGCTGCCCTTGTAGTCGTCGAAGCGGTTGGGGAAGCAGCGCTGGCTCTCCATGATAATGATGATAATGATGAAGGAAGGAAGGGACCAAAGAGCGGCCTCAGGATGGAGGATGCGCCTCTGGGGGTCCCCTCGCTGTGCCTTTTTTGCCTTGGTCCTGAAGGAAGGGAAGGGAAGGGAAGAGAGGCACGAAGCCTCCTTGGGGAAGGAAGGAAGGAAGGAAGGAAGGGGCCCAGCAGCAGCAGCAGCCCCAGAAGAAGAAGGTTTTCTCTCCTCTCCTCTCCTCTTCTCCTCTCAAGGTGCTCCTAGGTCCTTAGCGCTTGCTCCCCTCATCCAGGTGCCCTCTCGCATTGCCTCTCCTCTCCTCCCCTCCGACGGTGGAAAGGTCCGCAGAAGAAGCCCAGGAGCCAGTGCTATATATTATCCCCTCCTTCTCCTCCTCCTCCTCCTTCTTTTGTG